GTTTCCCACAGCTGATGAGGCCCAACCAGGCTATGTGGTTCACGTACAAGATGAAATTACTCATCCAATCGAAACCCCGCTGGGTTATACACAACAGTACGGCACGCGGTGATAATTCAGTTTCCGTCTTCAGTTTGTACAACCATTAACCATGCACTTTCGTGCGCCGGTTTTGGTTGTTGTCTTTTGACTGCCCATTAGGACAAAGCAGTGGGGAAAGAAAGGAAAGTAGAGTCGAATATAAAATGTGGAATTTGAGTGGACTAATGTTGCGCATAAATTGAGAAGATGCACGAACGCCACTGTTTACGACACTCAGTCATATCACTCAGTGTCTCTAACCACCGGGTACGATCATCCCGAGGTTCCCAGCCAGGAAGCCTAACGGGACCTATGTGATCAATGAATCTCCTGGTTAGGGGATAATTCAGTATGAGTTTCGCATCTCCTTCATGCTCGGCCGCATCCGGTAAGCCATGATTGTTTCAAGCGATTCGGGCTTTGTTCCGAGTGCGGCTTCGAACCCGGAGCCGAATTGGTAGAAAGGAGAGCGTGTTTGTTCAAACGAATTAAGTCTATCCATCTATGCAAAAATGAACTCACAAACGAGATTTATGGAACTTCTTCTTCCAGACATGAAAGAAAACATTGTCCTATCCTTCATGAGAATGTGAGTTCAGTAGCTACGATCATGTTCCAAACCGTTTGCGTATCTCAACATGTACTATATGTTTGCGTGCAATGAATGTATCTACCAGATGCATGAAAGTTTATTCATCTAGATTGCTTAGACGAAAAAGGGGAGAGGGAATCGCCAGTACCAAGGAAGGTTGAACAGCCAATAAAATTCCCTCTCTTTTGCTTAATTTGATACCTTATTACGGAAATAAACTTTCCAGATGAAACTTCAGACATTTATATAATCGCCGGCCGACAATGCCTAAGTTTATTTCTTTTTCCCGAATACCTCGACAGCCACCCCCTTTATCCCCTCTTGGCATTGCTTCTTCAGCAATGTGAAGCTGCCTCGGCTAGACCAGACTCTCCGCCCCCATTAGATGCATTCAATGCGGAACTGAAGGCATATGTGCAACGCCAAGTGGAACTGGAAGATGCAGACTTGTCCAAAACTCCCCTCAGTGTGAAGTCACGTGATAAAAGTTACTACTCCGGCCCGGGGAATCCGTACGACACACCAATGTACGCCGGATCGAACCGTTCCACCACTACCCGAACGGGGCGGTACAATGCTAAACTGGACGGAACCAATGAGCACGGATTTTCCACCAGCAAATCTAGTCGACCGCAATCCAGAGATTGTAGACTGCACAGCACGGATAAGCCCCGGGAGTGTGACAAATCCGGTCTGATCGACAGCGAGTACAGTCGAGATTCCGGGGCAGAAAATTCCCTTTTCGATGAGGACAGAAAGTTGAATGTGTTTGTAAACAATAGCGAATTGGACGAATTGGTGAGTTGTTTGTTACCTGGTGTCATGTTCCACCACAAGTAGTCTAATGAGCTTATTTTTACGACACCTATAAAACCGGCCACCTCGAATCTATGACAGCACAATGACAAGCTGAGATCAAACGTACAACAATGCACCACAATCAGTTATTGATACGCGAGCAGTAGTCAGTGAAGAACGTTTACTAGCGAATCTCGGAGGGTGGCGTCCCGACCGAGCGAAATCACGAATTACCGCACACACGATACACAGGGCGCATAAGTGGGGGCAGAAAGTACAGATCGAAGGCGGGCAGGGGGGGGTGGTCTCACGGTGGGTAGCTCGTTAAAACACGGGTGCGAAAATAGGGATCTAATTACAACGGGTCTAAAAGTTGTCTTTCGTCCGTGGTTCTTTCGGCCCCGCCCATGTGCGGGACCTGGACTGAGACAAAAGGGAGAAATCTCAGTGAGCGGCAATTTGAAACCCTACATTGTGGTTTCTGTTCCATTACACAGTAGATAGATTCAACTAACGCGCACTGAACTGCGTAGAGCAGTTACTGACGGAAATTGTCAGTGTGTGTATATATATTGAAAATTTACAGTTTCACTCGCTCATTGTTCCTGTTCGTCTAAGAGTAGAACAAATTAGAAGAGGAATTATCATAGGCGATACATAAGCCGAGTAGAATACATGCTCATCGTGTTGTGCCCCCAAATAAGCAATATTTAACACGCACACACACACACCGGTCGTATTCGAATCACCCGATCACCATCACCGGTATGGTATACACCTCTTCGCTGTCCTGGTACTACTTCATTGTGAGCAAAGCAGACTGAACAAAATCTGGTCCTGACGAGGACCGGTGTGATAAGATGCAAGTGTACTTCGTTTACTTCTGCTCCGGTGTTAGCTTGACACACGGCAGTGGAATGGGGCAAAATAAAAACCCAGTCGATTCAACTGGTGTGGGGTCATAGGGGGGGGGCGAGTGGTTCAGTTCAGTTCATATAGAGATAGGCTAACATTGTGGATTTGTGGTTTCACGGTCCACCCACGGGGCTGATCTGGATGGTGGATTTCATATGGATGGATAATTTTAAATGTGAAAAGCTCAATGATATGGGTGTGTTATAAGCGTGGGTTCAAATCCCACTGAGGCTACTACGAACATTTTCACAATTCAAACACAATGAAACCTCGATAGCTTTGGATTATAATGGAGTAACTTGATATTGAATAATGGGATCAGATTCCATGAACAATCTGTTTCCGTAAGATATCATCTGGTTAACGAGACGGGGAGATTGTTCGAGTTACTTTTGCGTTGTCGAACTGCGTTGCGTGATCGAGCTTGCGAGTCATTTCGGCATCATTTATCAGCCCGTTTTACCTCTTTGTATGTGACACCTCAGGTGCAAGTGCGCTGACAGATAACATGGAGTGCAGGTGAAAGCCCTTAGATCGCATTCGTCTGAAGAGTGACTGTGGAATTTTCAGTCGTTTGTGATTGTGTACGACACGCATATGTGGTTACCGTATCTATTCGGCTCCGGACCGCAATTAATTTCATCCTCATCTCCGAGTTACCAGAACCGAAAATTGAAAAACCACCGTTCCGCCACCTCGTGTGATGAAATGTTCATTGGGGTTCATTCGGGTGTTCACTACAGTACCTGTTGTGTCCCTTTCAATTAGGTAAATAAACACTCTGCGAATTAGGCAGTACAACTACTGTAGTAGGCCCNAGGCCCACATCTGGCCGGTCCGCAGGCCGATGAGCGAGGGGCGGAAAACAAGTAGGCAGTCAGGCCGGCAACGGCTCAAACGTCACATGACATCCGAATGCGGTCAAGCCGGTTTTCAAATAGTCAACCAATCAGTCAGCGTGGACAGTCAATACTAACCCCTGATTGGCTGAAGCCGATCGATATTGTAACAGAGTCAGTCTGCATGGTATGAGTGCGGGCAGGCAGCGTCTGTCAATCAACCAAGCAATCAATCCGGTCACAGGCAAGCGCGACAAACGTCAATCGCAGGCCAAACAGGACCTAGAGATGTTTGGGTGACTATAGAATGGTGGGTTTGATGATTGCGTACCGATTGGAAACAGATTCATTCGAACAAACATGTTTACTGATCGAAAACATTGCAGTTAAAAATCTATACAACCAACCGTCACAGAGAACATTTTCAACGGGGGAAAAGTGTTTACAGACATTGGGATATTTCATAATCCAAGGTTAAGACAAAGTTCACTTGTTACCCTCTCTTTGTTTTTGAGTAAACGTGCCAGATAAGATATAAGTGAATTTCGATAGGCGTTTATGTGACAGCGATTTTGGCGAAATGGAGAGTATGTGGAGCGATCGGAACGCGACGTGTCAGTTCTGCGTTCAATGGGTAGTTAGGGTCTGTGAGAATCCTCTCTGCAAATATGACACAGGAAGTTGCATGATACTCTGAAAGTTTTACGGTTAACTCGTTCGTATACCCTCGAGATTCTGTACAGGTATATCCAAATAAACTCACTGTCCCGTATTGCCCTATTACAGATTGTCAAAGCCATTCAAGTACTTCGGATACATTTGCTAGAATTGCACAAAGTGAACGAGTTATGCAAGGATTTTTGTTCCCGGTACATACACAGCTTGAAGACGAAATTCCAATCGGATCCCCTTATTCATGGTAAGTGCATACACTTTGTTTTGACTGGCTGGCTGGCTGGCTGGCTGGCTAATCATGCAGTACAGAAGTGCTCGTCCAGCCGTTGTGTTGGCAACAGTTGGACTCCCTTCGCGATTCGTTTCCGAATAAATTAGATAACCGATAGTCGATGATTTCAGTCAACAACGAAAATGAAGTGCTGTTTCTATTTGTGTGCATTTCTGAGAACTACCATTTTACGAACGATCCCGTTCGTTGCATCACTGACCATGTCATGAGATTCGATGCTGTTTCGATCAAATATCGGCGAATTGTCAGAACATTTTGAATCCGTCGAATTTTTATGCCTCTTCGTACCGTTAGTCTCCCGTACCCACCCCCGTTGGGGGGGGGGGCCAGTCG